TGGGGGTGTCCTTCATTTATAGGGTAACCATAATTCAAAGTCAACTAGATGTGAATAACAACAACAACAAAAAAACAGAATGTGATGTAGCAGTATCATAAACTATTTTGATTGGGTAGAATAGCCAAAGTGTATACATTGATTTCTGTATTTCACTCTGTCTTACATTCCCAGAACACTATTTCCGGCATTGGATGTCTGCAGTAATCTCGAAAAGGTTTCCTTAAAAGGGCAGAAAAAAACAGGAGGGGTTATTTTTCATTGCAAATATTTACTGTACTTAAAAGACTTTTTTAATTAAAAAATTCTAATTTAGAACAAAATATATTTTCAAACCCAGTATTCTGCTTTTCAGAGTAGACACACAGGTTCTAAGCCCAACAATAAAGATCAACCAGTTTATTATATAATGAATTTTTATGTATTATAGCTCAGTTCTTCAGGACAAGCAGTGTTAAGCAGGATTTCCAGTTGCAGCTGAGATTGTGGACAGAGAAGTTAGAGGAAGAATAAACGCAGAAAGAATTCCCGATGGCAATTATGTTAGAAACAGAGTAATTCAGAAAATGACCACAGATAACACAAATATCCTTGCATTATGTAAAGCAGTTAACACATGTAGTGTGATAGTGAGCCTGATTCTGTTGATAAGACTGGAACCTGCTAAAAAACTAGCTCAGCAGCCTCTCTTTCTCTCTTGCTAACCTTCCTCAGATGTTGGCTACATTATGGTCACTGCTCTAGTATCTAGGATCGTGGTAGTTAATGTTTTCTTGCTTCAGTTAGCCAAAACTAGGCTGATTGTTACTTAGAGGATATTTTCTTCAGTCAACTCCAGATTATGAAATGACTTACTGGAAGAGATTCATCAGCTGGAGATTGTCTTCATCAGTCCTGCACCTGATTTTGGGGTTCTTTTCCCTAACCTGCCTTTAAACAACTTATCATTTGCTGTGGGTTTTTGACTGGTTTCCAGCAATGGTGGCAGCTGCCTTATCACTCACATGTGGTCCTTGCAAATCACCCAGTGCTGGTGCTGTGGGCATGAGTCACTCTGAGATCAGAAGAAGGTGCCCAGCATTGACAGCATGGGTGTCTTATTCTTACCTCAGAAATAGTGCTGAGTAGCAAATGGTGACCATGTGGGAAGGCCATCATTGCTGCCGGAAGAAAGCCAACCCACAAGGTAGGGGCCAATTTGGGGAAAATTTGGGGCAAGAATATTCTGGGGGAAGCCCATAATATCCTTGGTCAGTATCTTCAACTGCGTCTTTCTACTTTTCACTTTTACAGATGCCACTCACCAAGATAGCATTCCCTCTTTGCTGGAAGCAACTTTCTTAGCACATTCAATATCATCTTTGAGGTCATCATCTAGAAACTCTGTGGGGGAAAATTAATGAAGACATTTATGAAGAAAAAAAATCATTTTTCTGAGTAGGACAGAATGGAAGTGCTGCTGGTGTATCATTCATCCCCTTGCCCCACAGGTTCCCTTCCTGAGGTAGCCAAGGTTGTCTTGGGCTCTTGGCAGTTGTGTAGAGATCCTTCAGGCTTGCGCTCATAGAGAGGATTCTTAGTGAGGGTGGCATGTTGACAGTGGCTCGAGATTTCATGGCAACAGGGAGAATCGAGATCATGTAATTTGCTCTGATCTGGAAAGAATAGGAACTCAATGCAAAAAAGTTGTACCTATGAAGTTACATGGTAGGATATGTGTATGTGTCTGTGTGGTGATGCAGAGGTTTGTATAATGTGTGTAACATTTCTATTTTATAAATTCGAAACTTATGATTATGACTAATGAATTCCTTGTATGGAAGGCAGTAAAGATCAAAGAGCCAAAGATAATAGAAGAAATACTTAAGATTATGATGCATGTATATATATGGGGGGGGGG